AATTGAGTTTCTTTTTTCCAGTTTTTTAGATATGACCTTTATCCATCTTGATACCATTTTTTCGTAAGAATCACTGAAACAACTTTGGGTTATTCAGCTAAAAACAGAGCAGGTTAAAATAGGTTTGTGTCACACCCACTGTCATCGCAACTGCGCAATGGTGAGAGGAAAAAGATCATTCCGGGCTTCAGAAATGGTACCAAAATTTATACTCTGGCTTCCATCTTCAAAGCCCATTCAAGAACCATCAAAAGAATGGCGAATAAGTTTACAAAAAGAGGGAATAGTAGAGAGGGAAACTGAATTAGGAGCTCACAATAGGATCATCATTTCAACTTAGAGCTGAAGAGATCAATTGGAAAAGATCCAACTCAATTCATAAAACATTTGGCAAATTTGAGAGAAATTTCAGCTATGACAGTCCAAAGAGCCGTGAAAAAAAACTTGAAAATGAAATCGTACGTGAAACGTGTGAAGCACCTGGTTACTCCAGAACAGAAAGAAGGTTAGAGAGGGCGAAGATCACCTTGAATCTGTTGGGAAATGATCCTGAAATAATATATATATATATATATATATATATATATATATATATATATATATATATATGTGAAGAAATATAGTTTTAAGGTGTGCTATATTTATGGGATAAAGTGCTCAATATCAGAGATGGAGCGTATGTAAATATAAATATAAAAGTGAACATTGAAGTCAAAACTCAGAGGCGACAGGCTGTTTCATGCTGGACGCAATCGTCATGCAGCCTGACAATATATATATATATATATATATATATATATATATATATATATATATATATATATATATATATGAACTTTATTTCAATCCTTCATGAGCTTCCGATCCTTAGCTATGATTAATTAACGATGAACATGTCATTTTAGTTTATGATCGAATTCATGACGATTCTTATGTTAAGCTCGGCGAGTAATTATACATTCGTATTGTTCAAAGTAAAGTCCAATAGTGCTATAAAACCCCGGAGATTTCCAGTAAGATATCTTTAATCATTTCTAAGATACAACGGCTCAGAGATTAATCTAAGTAATGGACAATTTGTTACATTATATATATATATATATATATATATATATATATATATATATATATGTGTGTGTGTGTGTGTGTGTGTGTGTGTGTGTGTGTGTGTGTGTGTGTGTAAGTAAAAATTAAGATATGAATAAAATATTTCTGTAAAAAGACAATATAAAGAAAAGGATTTTTTTCTTGACTAATGCATTTCATCCTCTAAGGAAGTTTATGAAGGTAAATATAAGGATTCTATTTTGCAATATGTACAATAAACAGAAGTAAAAAATATAGTTCGTTTTTCAAAATTTAAGAATATTCAAAATAAGTCAAGTTAAACTATGGATGACGCTAAGTGATGTAAATCAATGCTGAATCAAAATGAGAAAATTTTGTTATTGTTTTTTATTCTCTTATTTGTTTATATTTTTTTACTTTTATTGAATAATCTAATTATTATAAATAATAGTTTAATTTGATAAATTATTGATTTTTTCATTTATTTTAAATAAGAAAGTTTTGAGTGAACCGTTTTCCTTTATTTTTTAAAAAGTTTTATGGTCCTCTTACACTTAACATTTAGTCCTTTCTTCTACCTTTCCTTTAATACCTTGTCTAGTAGTCCTAACAGTTTACTTTCTGTACTTGCTATCAACACTGTGTTAAGTGTATATCGTATGTTGTTAAGATTGTGGCCTCCAATATTAAATCCTGGTAGAACCTTTAGTCCGTCTCTTCGATGTAAATGTTGAATAGATGTTTTTTTTACGCCGCTTTTCTCCATTGTGCAAGAATGGTAAATCCACACCTTATAATTTCTGGAAAAATCACCAGGTTTCTATCACATTCCTAAATCGCAGAGTCTCTATATTGAAAAGCAACAATCAATTTTCTTATTTCTTAATAAAAACACAGGCTTTGTGATATTTTATGCATTTGTACCAATTTGTTTTTTAATACCATATAACAGCAGAACGTAGAGGATTATGGCTCTCCACAACTTCTTTTTTCTCTTTGAATTCAGAGATTTCCTTCTCCTAGACTGGCTACCAACCAAGAGTAGAGAGCTTGAAGGAAAGAAGAGATGGTTTCAGGTTTTTCCCGACGGCGATTGTGCGAAAGTAAACGCAACAGACTGGACAGGAATTTGAACTCGTATCGTCGATTCCACTTTCCGGGTCGGTAACCGTTACGCCTTCTGTTCATCCCCACTAAAACCTAACGGTTATGTTTTTAAAGTATGGAGACCTAAAAGTAAAATAAAAGATTTTTTTTTCTCATTGACTAAAAACACGGTTCGCGGTGTCAGTTTGAGGTCAATATTTATAGATCAGTTAGAGTATTAAAGAATCAAGATGTTCTTTAGTATATAGAAGGGTGTGCGGGTGGTATAGTGAATAGGAATGAGAAGTGAGGGAGCCGAGTTCGAATTCCAGTCGTGTTCATTAGATTCACTTACGTTCAAATACTCTTGGGAAATATATAAATCCATCTCTTGCCCTCCCAGCCCCCATCTCTCCCTAGCTATGCTGAACAGCCGTGGTTGGCAACCCGTCTATGAGAAGGAAAACTCTGAAAACCAAAAATCAAAACTCTATGCGTCTCTGGGACCAAATCACAGTCTGGCTTGCTAGGGTTACAATGAAATCATAAGCAGTAGGATATTAGATGCAGTCAAAGACAAAATAACAGTTCAGATTTAGCACTGGACTGAAATGGTGTCATGAAAAATACAGGGTTCTCAGAAAAAAGAAAAGAAACGTCAAATGTATCCTTCGAGAGAAAAAAATACTATCTCTAATTGCTCTATCTGAGTGGCTCTGTAAGAGCCCAGATCTGAATGTTATGGATTACTATATCTGGAGTATCTTCTAACTCACTTGTAAAACCGTCGTTGTGATATCGTCGTGGAACTGAACTGAAGCTTGGAATGTAATTTCTCTTGACACTTATCCGCAAAGCTACGGCCTCCTCCTGGTTACCACGTTTACAACTTTGTGTTGAATATTCAAGGAAATATTTCAAACATCTCCACAAAAAAAAAAAATGACATGCACACAAGAAAAATTAAGTTAATTAAATAATTAATTAACTTTTTAGTCGTCTTTAAGGAAACACATTTTTATATGGCGAAATAATGAATTTATTATTATTTGTGTTTATTAACATACAATCATGTAAAGATTTGTTTTTTTTTTTCGAATTGTCATCTTATACCAATTTGTCTTTGCCACAGAATTGATCTGGGAATTTAACTATATTGTCGACATGGAAAAAAAAAACTCTTAGTATAAAGGGAATTTACATTAACCAGAAAGAGGCTTACGAAGAAGCGTCTCTATCTTTTTTTAAATTTTGATTTTTTAATGTAACTATAACAACAAAAAAATTTCGATTTCATTTTTGCCTTGAAAAAATCGGAAAACGAAACCCGTCGGCAAAAAATTAAGATTTATTTCCAATTGTCATCTTATACCATATCTATCTATCTATCTATCTATCTATCTATCTATCTATCTATCTATCTGTCTGTCTGTCTGTCTCTCTCTCTCTATATATATATATATATATATATATATATATATATATTTGTGTATTTAGGCAGCAATCCTTCTTTCATGCACATTTCATTGAAAACGACAGGCAAGGTGTTTTTATTTAGCTTTTTATACAATTTCTCATGCGATCTAATTATTTTTTTTCTTTTCGGATGATAAATTATATAAAAACTGTCCGAATGTTCTTCTTATCCGATCGCATTCGGCTATACATTTAGCCATTTTCAAGGATTATATTTTAACAGTTAAAATAAGAAATAGTTTGTTATATGTATGCTTTCAAAACACGGTCAAGATATTATGTCCATGGTCAAAGTTAATATTATTATGTGTTGATTTGTTTGCTTTTATTAAAAAAATTTTAGGTCAAATATTATTTACGAATTTAAATACCCATTAAGGAATTGTGTTCCCGATCAATCAAAATTCGTAAATAATTATATAGGCCACACTGCAACATGTTTGACACGCAGACTCACTCTACACCTTTCTGACCATAGTTCAATATGATCTCATTTAAATATTCATGGAGACCTACCGGACACTATTCGTAACATACTTGTTGATAACACTACTATAATAGCATCATCTACATGCAAAAAAAAGGGTTAAAAATAATGGAAGCTTTAATAAAAACAACACTTAATAATATTAACTTTGAACATGGACACAATATCTTGACCGTGTTTTGGAAAAATGAAAACATTTTATAAAACATACATACAACAAACTATTTCTTATTTAACAGTTGAAATATTTAATCCTTGAAAATGGCCAAAATCATAGCCGAAAGCGCTCGGATAAAAAGAACATTCGGACAGTTTTTATATAATTTATCATCCGAAAAGAAAAAAAAATATTAGATCGCAGGAGAAATTGTATAAAAAAAACTAAATAAAAGCACCTTGTCTGTCGTTTTTTGAAATGTGCATATATATATATATATATATATATATATATATATATATATATATATATATATATATTTTATGAAATGGACAAAGTCCGACAATTATTTAAAGGACGAATATTTTCTGTGAAAATTTCTCGGACATTCAGGCCGGTAAATGTTATTTAATACTGTTTATTATAAACAGAGCATTTGTATCTATAAAAAGAATGTTAAACATAAAAATGTCTTTAAATATATATATATATATATATATATATATATATATATATATATATATATATATATATGAGAAATATATGTTTAAACTGTTTCTATCATTCTTATGTCATTTGAGCAGCGTTCAATAAAAATGACAAAAAACGCTGAATTTCTTTTCTTTTTGTCAATGTTGTCTGTGCGAACAATGGCTGTCCAACTAACTCTCAATGAAACTTTTAATAATTACTGAGCATAACAAATACTACTTTGAAAGCGAAGGATTAAAGACATGAGCCATAATGTTCGCGACATTGCGGCAGTGGATAGAAAAGAAAGGATCGCGGGATTTTGAGCGCCATCTCGCGCTGAGAACGGATAAGCGAGAGCGGCAGAGTACAAAGAGTAGGAAGAAAGATGACGCCGAGAGATAGGTTTAAGGATACGTGACCAAAGCAAGACATTTGAGAGATCGACCGAGGAGAACGACAGAGCTGTCACAGCCACAGGCTCAACATCGCTACAGATGTCCCCCCCCTCCAACTTCTCTTCTCGAAATGAGAATTATGCCAGGGGTGGGGAAGCGATGACTTGTATTCGATTAAGTTTGCAATAATGAGGGACTAAAGCACACTGAATGATTGAATTTGTCGATAAAGGGAAGTAAAAAGAGGATAGATAGATAGATAGATAGATAATGAGCAGAATATGATAGATAGATAGATAGATAGATAGATAGATAGATAGATAGATAGATAGATAGATAGATAGATAATGAGCAGAATAAGATAGATAGATAGATAGATAGATAGATAGATAGATAGATAGATAGATATGAACCGAAGGAGATAGATATGAACAGAAACATATAAACAGAGCGAGATAGATATATATGAACAGAAAGAGATAGATAGATAGATAGATAGATAGATAGATAGATAGATAGATAGATATGAACGACTGAGATAGATAGATAGATAGATAGATAGATAGATAGATAGATAGATAATGAGCAGGCTAAGCGTGATATAAAGACGACGAGACTGAGATAGATAGATAGATAGATAAAGAGATACAAATTGATTGAGATAGATAAATAGATAGATATGAATAGAAAGAGATAGATTGTAGACATTTATAAACGATCAAACTCCGATATTGATCCCCTCTTCCTCGATAAATATAAAAACTTTTAATCAATACATACACAAACACACACACACATATATATATATATATATATATATATATATATATATATATATATACTTACACGTGTGTGTGTGCGCGCTTGTGCAAATGTGCAAATCCTGCGAGGGAGGAAGTGTCGAAAGTAAAGAATGATGAGAATCTAACAGAATGGGAAATATATAAAGATTTTTAAAAAAATCTTTACTTTGGCATGGCTTTTATATAGTTTATCTATTATTTTTACTCAGATGTACAATATCTTATTCGAAAATTGGAACAATTATATATATATATGTGTGTGTGTGTGTGAAAATATATAGGAAATAGGAAGGAACTGGTTAGGTAAATAATCCAAAGTCCCTTAGTATTTTAGTTATTATTTTTAAAAAATAGTGCTCGATACAAAAGTGGTGCATAAATATAATTATTTATTTAAAAATATGATTCCAATATATATATATATATATATATATATATATATATTATAATTGCTTTTTAAAAATTTATTAACACCGAAGTTCCCATGTTTCAAAACTGAAACTTCAATTCAAATTCAATCATAAAAATTTAAAATACAAAGTTCCTTTCCATTATCAAGCGATGCTAAGAATAACTTTTTAGAAACTGATTTACTTAATTTATAAGTCCAGACAAATTTGATATTTTGCGATGTTGCGGTTATGGAAAATTCAGTCTTTTTTTTTATTTTAGGGATGTTAAGATTTAACTTATTTAGAAACTCATGTATCTAATGTATTGTAGCCATCAAGTCGGTCAAGTCAAGTAGGCGATTGGGTATCTGTCTATTGCCACAAACTTCCTTTTTTTCAAGTAGAAATTTGTCGTAGTATCTACGTTCCAACACATCCTCTAACAATATTTTAATAACAATATATTTGGCATTTTTATTTTTTACTCTTTATTTAATTTAATTTAATTTTTATATAAATTTCAATTACGATTTTTCAAAAGGGGCATTACATCATTATTTAGTCACATTTTTAATATTTATATTTGTATTCGCACCGACTTAAGATATTATATTTAATTTATTGAGTACATATATGGTAATGTTAAAATGAATATATTAGAATCTAATTATGCATTCATAAAATATTTTATTTATGATCAAATATAAATTATTTATTTCCGACATATAAAAACTTTGTGCTTTCAACTACACATATTTTGTACAGAATTTTATACGTTCAAGTTTAAAGGTATGTTGTTTTAGATATATAGTTTATTTATCATATAATGTATTATTGGTAATTTTACTATAAAATCTATTTTTATATATTCTTAGTATTGCATTGATTGTAATTTTGCTATAAAAATGTATTGTTGCTCATTTTATTATAAAAAAAAAGATGTACTGTTGAATTTTATTTAGGTGTTCACTATTTGCCCATAGCAGGGACCCTAACAAGTGTTACTACCCCAGGTCAGGGTAGACCTGGGAACAACAGCAATTAAAAGATGGTTCCACGCTTCTGAAAACCTCCAATCTCCTGACCAGTGGCCTTGCTGCCAGATGTAGTTTATCGTCATACCCAGTACATCTAACTCAAAGAAAATGTACCTCCAGACAGGAATGGAATCTGTATCTTTTATTTTATCTATCGCCGAAGCGTGCCGTAACCAATTTATTCACGGGAGACCGACAAAGCAGAGCTCAATTGTCGACTGAAGGGAAAACAAATCTCTCGTTTGCATCTCTTCGAATATGTCTGCTGGCATTTTTAAATGGATTTTTTATTTGGCATTATTTAACGTTATTTTTATAATGTATCCACTCAAATTTAGTGTACCCACTAAAAATAACATTTATAGTAATAAGAGAAAAAAAATCATATATAATATATATATATATATATATATAATGTACTCTACGGTCGGTTTCGACGTATCAGGACCTAGCAACTTAACCAATCGATTCAGTTATGAATCTTGTGGAATAATCTTAAGTGACACTTAAGACCCGCAATTGATTTGCAAAGGAGGCCGCATGTGAATCAAGAGTGAGGATTGTGGGATGAGGTCACTGTTAGATTGGCTGACCTTTTAGATCATGCTCTCGCTTCTTGAAGACGATTCAGACTAGCTGATTGAAAACCGCTGTCCACTAAAAGACGTTGATCTCTACTCTACCCGCTCTAAGCCTAGCCGCTCGAGGGTGTTATGAGGTATATTGACATCTGACAAGTCGCTCTTCCGCTTGTTTTTGTATCTAAGCCATGCGTGTCCTACATTCCTGTGGCCCTGATCTAACTAGCCGTACGTTAGGATCTTGGGTAACCTGTCATCAGACATTCTCAAGATATGACCAGTCCACCGCAACTGAGACTGTAAGTCTCGATTCCTCCAATACTGCATCTGTTAAACAGATCTACATCGGATGGCCTGTCTTGAAGGCTAACTCCACAGATGGCACGCAGACATATATACGTACTCCTTATAGTCTTAATGATAGGTGTGACTTATGTTTAGAAGAAAAGATTAGAATAATAAAATACAATAATCAAAGTTATCTATTGAATCAAACGAATGAATCAGTGTTAAAATGTCGACATAAAAACAAATTCAAATTTCCATAATATAGCGTTAACTTAATTAGCTACGATATTTCCATAATATTCACTCCCCCAACTCTTCAAATGTCGACAGTATAACTAATTCTAATTTCTATATTTTATTTCCTCCCTTTATAAGCTCTTTACGTTATACTATAATTTATAAACTTTCCCCTACTTTAATATCTTCCCAACTTTTTTTCCCATTAATCCCTTACATCCTTTTATCTATCTATTTAAAATTTATTTTTAGACTCCTTTTTATTCCTCTTCTAATTTTAAATTTAAATTTCATTCTTCATATAACTCCAAACTAATGTCATAAGGTTAATATTCGGGTTTAATTTTATAAAACTTCTCCCCTGTAAGACAAATACCTTCCACCCACCCCTGACCCCTGTCTCGTGCCTTTCGTCTGAATGAAACTTTTGATGGGCAATAAATTAAATTACCTTGCCCCATTATATCGGTCCCAGCATACAACACCGTTCAGAAGCACCTGAACACCATACCACGGGTCGACCCAAGCCTTCTGATTGAAACTGGGGTCAAGTATAGATAACAGCATTGTCTACGTTTTTATATCGAGTGTAAACCGATCTTACATCTGCCATTTTTAGCCTCGAGCATAAACCGGACTATGTTTGCCTTTTTTCGTCTGTAGTGTAAACCAGGCCTATGTCTGCCTTTTTTCGTCTGTGGTGTAAACCAGACCTATGTCTGCCTTCTTCGTCTCTAGTGTAAACCAGGCCTATGTCTGCCTTTTTTCGTCTCTAGCATAAACCAGACCTATGTCTGCCTTTTTTCGTCTCTAGTGTAAACGATACCCAAGTCTGCCTTTTTTCGTCTCTTGTGTAAACCAGACCTATGTCTACCTTTTTTTGTCTGTAGTTTAAACCAGACCTATGTCTGTCTTTTTTCGTCTCTAGTGTAAACCATACCTATGTCTGCCTTTTTCGTCTCTAGTGTAAACCAGGCCTATGTCTGTCCTATTTCGTCTCCAGTGTAAACGATACCTATGTCTGCCTTTTTTCGTCTCTAGTGTAAACTAGACCTATGTCTGCCTTTTTTTGTCTCTAGTGTAAACCAGGCCTATGTCTGCTTTTTTCGTCTCATATGTAGACCGGATCTAGTTAAAACTTTTTGATTCATGTGTAAACAGGGCCTCTATCTGCCTTTTTGTTTCTCGTGTTAACCATACTTATGTCTACCATTTTAGGTTGTATCAGTCCTCCTATATATCAGTGAACGCTCGACAATCCCCTCACAGATGAAGAAGAGACTTGAAACAATAGAAATGTTTTCCTAAAGAATGAGGCTGTGAATATTGCGGCGAACATGTTAGCAACGACGAAGTTCTAGAGACAATTGCAACAAAAAGGACTCTTATTCTTAAACACCGGGAAGAGCCAATTTCTTAGGCACATATGGAGGAAAGAGGGCTTGGAAAATGTGAAACTCACAGGACAGATTGAAAGTAAGGGGACCAGAGGAAAGCAACGCACAACCTACCTGGCGGGCTTGAATGAATGGATAGCGGAGCAGGGTATGGGAGAGATGACAAAAAGACACAATTTATTAAGAGCTACAAAGAACAGAATTGTGAAGAGCCTTGATTGCCAAGAAGAAGAAGAAGACGAAGAAGAAAAAGAAGGAGAAGAAGAAAAAAAAGAAGAAAAAGAAGAACAACAACAAAAAGAAGAAAAAGAAGAACAAAAAGAAGAACAAAAAAAGAAAAAGAAGGAGAAGAACAAAAAAAGAAGAAAATGAAGAAGAAGAAGAAAGAGAAGAAAAAGAAGAAAATAGAGAAGAAAAAGAAGAAGAAGATGAAGAAAAAGAAGAACAAAAAGAAGAACAAAAAGAAAAAAAAGAAGAAGAAGAAAGAGAAGAAAAAGGAGAAAATAGAGAAGAAAAAGAAGAAGAAGAAGAAGATGAAGAAAAAGAAGAAGAAGAAGAAAAAGAAGAACAAAAAGAAGAAAAAGAAGAAGAAGAAAAAGAGGAAGAAGAAAAAAGAGAAGAAGAAGAAGAAAAAGAAGAAAAAGAAGAAGAAAAAAAAGAGAAGAAAAAGAAGAAGAAGAAGAAGAAAAAAGAGAAGAAAAAGAAGAAGATGAAGAAGAAGAAGAAGAAGAAAAAGAAGAAGAAAAAGAAAAAGAAGAAGAAAAAGAAGAAGAAGAAGAAGAAGAAGAAGAAGAAAAAAGAGAAGAAAAAGAAAAAGAAGAAGAAGAATTAGGATCAACTGTAATAACCAGCCAATGACCTTACGTACTAAAGTTAGCTTAGTTTCGCACATGTCACGCGTATAGTGTGCGCTGTCAACATCGAACTCAATTCCCAATCGTCAACAAGACTATGTCATTATTTACTAATCTTA